ACCTCCATAGCCTTCCTCAAGCACTGCATGTTGGCTATCCTGCTGGCCTGAGGGGAGCCCTTGAGACCACAGAGCCCACTGTCCTTACCCCAGAGATAGTACGTCCTTTGAATGGTCGTTTTGGAAGTTTCTGCTCTCGACCAACACCCGGCCCTTGACTTCTCTTAAACTTGTTCTACCAGATAAACAACGGCTGCAGTGTGAACAATGATTTTTTAAAAAACTTTGTACAGCCTTACTTGAAAAAAAGTTCACTGAGCCTTTGGTAGCATTATTAAGAATGACAACGATAACAACAAAGGAAAGCAGGTGGATTTCTTTGGGAATATTGTTTTGTTAATAAAAGTGACTGATTTTTAAAAAAACTTAATGCAAAAAATTACCCGGCAGAGGTAGCAAGTCAGAGTCTCAGGAATTTAGAGGCCTGCCCTCTCCTGTCATTTTGGTCTTCAGCCTTCCTACAGCCCAACAAAGTGTCACAAGCACACAGTGGCTGGTACTGATGTGTGAATCATTGCTGTTCAAAGTTCTTCTACCCAGAATCAGTTGTACTCTAAATTGGAACATTTGCATAATAACGGTGTTTTTAAAAAAAATTTGGGGGGGTAAAAGTATACAAAGGAAATTGATTTTTCCATTCAATACTTCATGCACACTTTGTGACACTGATTTGCAAGCATAATAACTTTGATGAAACTGTAACTCTAGGTCAGCCTAAAAGCGGTAGTGTTTGTGTTAAAAAATTAGACTCGGAACTTGTTGAGCTCCCAGTGCTCTAAGGAGAAGCTAGAACTGTAGATAAAGCCGCAAAGCCACCCAGGGGCAGCCAGATCCAGAGCCAGGTTGGTCTGACCCAGACTTCCTGCTCCCACAGCAGAGCATGGTGCCTTCTTCCAGAGTGGGGCATGGTTTCATCTCGAAAATACCGTCCAAATCCTCTTCAGTGATGAGTCCTGGAGATTACAGAATGCCCAGGCTACTGCTGATTCTCAGTACTGTAACTAGTGACTGCGAACACTGATACATAATAAAGGTTAATCGCATCCAAATGTTCCATTTTAGCGTTTTGTTATGTGAAACGGATTATTGTATATCTTTTCACTAGTTGTTAATTGAGTTCTTACTGTGGCTGTTGCTCTGGTGCTTAGGGGTTACCTGTTGGTCTGCTAACTACGAGGTCAGCAGTTGGCAACCAGCAGCTGCTCCTCAGGAGAAAGATGAGGCTTTCTGCCCCCGACAACAGTCACAGTCTCAGAAGCTCACAGGGGTGGCTGTACCCCGTCTTACAGGGTCGGAATCCGTCCGCTGGCAGTGAGTGCTATGGCTGTAGATGTGTCTATTGTTCGTTTGCAGGTATTGTGTTCACTTTGAATACGAATCATAGATGTTTGTCATTTAAGTAATAAAGATCCTTGGAATTTTTAAGCTGTGTCTCGTCATTTCAAGCATGGGCCATTTAATACCTGGAAGTTTTAACAAATTAGTTGCTGCCTTTCTAGTGGATTCTTATGTGTGAAAAGAAATGTAAACATTATCCAAACGTACCTCTTGATGTTTAAAGAGATACCACCAGAACCACTAGCCCACTGCAGCCACCATGACTTCCATCAGTTCTATACATTTACCTAGATGCTAAAATTTTACATTTTGCCTCTTGGAATACAGTATTAGTCCCACTTTGGCAGTTCAGGAAACCAAAGGCCCGTGAGGATAAGCTGGCAAAGCCACTAAATTATCTTGTTTTGGGTTGAGCATTGGGCTGCTGACCTCAAGGTCAGCAGTTCAAACCCAACAGCCTTTCCGAAGGAGAAAGACGAGACTGCCTGCTCTCATAGAAACAGTCTCAGAAATCCTGGGTGATAGTTCTACTCTCTCTACTAGGGTGCCGTGCGTCAGAATCAACTAGACAACAGCGGTTTGTCTGTTTCATACTGTCCTCAATACCTGGCTCTTGCTTCAATATAGTCCATTGGTTTATCCTCCTCAGAGTTTGTTTTAAACAATTCTTTTTGCTAGAAAGCTTTTTTCTCCTCATTGAGTTAATAGCAGTCCCTCTGCCTCTTTCTTTTTCCTCATCGTCGCCCTCTGACCTAGATATCTCATCGTGTTTAAAATAAGCTGGAAGCACAACCTTTTTGTGTATTTTCACCCTTTGAATAGAGTTTTGTTGTTCTATATAATTATAACTTTTCATGTTTATTTGCTTAACTTTCCATCTTGAAACTGTTTCACATTTTCTTCAGAAATACAATTTTTCAAGTTCACATGACAACTCCATGGAGTAGATTTACCTTAATTTACTTAACAGTTCCCTTATCTTACATTTCATATGATAAACACCACATTGTGCGTTTATTATTTTTTGTACATCGGCATGTGCTGAGTGTGACTCCTCACAGTTTGGGCACAGATATGTAAAAGGTTGAGATCACCAGTCTGGCTTCCACGAAGGGGTGGTGGGTTGCAATTTGAGGAGGAGGGCTCCAAAACCAAGCCAAGCTCACTGTCCTTGAGACAATTCTGACTTTCAAACTCTGCAGGACACAGTAGGACTGCCCTTGGGTGTCCAAGGATGGGTGGGAACGGAAAGCCTCGTCTTTCCCCACTATGGAGGGACTGAAGATGCAAGCTTTGAGCACATGGTTAGCGCCCAACGTGCCACCCACTGTGCCAGCAGAGCGCTTGAGGTAGAGGCAAAAACCAAAAGGAAAACCAAGCACATTGCCATCACATCGATATAAGCTCACAGCGACCCTAGGCCAGGATAGGACTGCCCTTGGGCTTCTGAGACTTTATCTGCTTACAGGAATAGAAAGCCTCATCCCTCTCTCATGGACTGCAGCTGGTGATTTTGAACTGTCTACCTTGCAGTTAGCAGCCCAACACATAGCCACTACACCACCTGGGCTCCTCCTGAAGAAGGCGGTAGGTCTTTAGACAGTAGCACCCTTTCAGCAGGCAGCTGACCCATTTCCCAGGCTAGGCAGCTCTGTGTCTTTGGGCAAGGAAATAGCGGAGGCTGGATGGGTCTACAGGTAGTGGGGACAGGGGTATGTACTCCAAATTTGAGTAGATAAAAAGCAAGTAGAAGTAAGTACACTTGTGGTCTTTACTGTAGGCCTGAAGGCTTTGGGGACTGAAGAACAGTTTATTTCTCTGAACAGTGTGTTAAATGTTATTTTTATGTTCAGTCGAATTGCATAGAGTTTGTTTTAAAGTAGAAAAGAGATCCTTAAGCTTTATGTTAAATTAGAAACTAAAGCTAAAATAAGATCATATTTTAGCTTTGAATTATAATGGATGAGACTTCTAGTACTATCGTTTTTTATTCAAAGTGAACTCTCAATATCAAAATACTTAAAGTTTACCATATATTGTTCAGGGAAGCAAACTAGCTGCAGAAATGTATATATAGTATGTAGGTACATAAACAAGGCAAACCATGTACAAGTGCACACTCAATACCTGTTTTGTTTCTCCCCCCCAATAGTTTGATATAAAATTCACATATTGTACACCTTTATAGTTAAGTCGCTTTTAAAAAGAGTTGTGTATATAATCACAATGAGTTCTCGTGTGTATATATGTTTCATGTAAACAGATTTGAAGATACATAATCCAGTGTGTTTAGAGACATTACTTCTGCAAAAGGACTTGTCACCTGAGATGTGTTTTTTTTCTGTATATTTTTATGTTTGGATTTTTTACAATGAGCATGTATTTTTGTATACTTTTAAATAATTAAAAATGTAGAGGAAAAATTTACTTTAAACTTAAGGATAGTACCTCCTTCCCAAATAAATCCCTATTTATACTGCTGCCTTCTACAAACCCTACCATGTATGCCAGTCGATCTAAGAACTGCTCATGTGTTCTGACTCTAAAGAAGCCTACCTTCTCCAGTCATTCCATAATGTTCTAATCACTTTTCACAGCGAGAAAACAGTGGTCAGACACAATTGTTTTGTGATATGTCATAGAATATGAGAGTCCTTTAATGGGTTTTTTTTTAAGGGATTTTTTTTCTATGAAAACTTGTAAACATACACAACATGGTGTGGAATAGACTTATACCTGTATCCCAGCTTTGATACCTGGTAACACATGGCCAGCCTTGTCTCGTTTGCAACCCTTCCAACACCTCCCTGAGGAGCCCTGGTGGCAGAGTGGCTGGCTTCGAGCTGAAAGGCCAGCAGTTCAAAACCACAGCTGGTCCATGGGAGAATGACAGGCTTTCTACTCCCATCAAGGAGTTCCAGCCTCAGACTCGCAGGGCAGCTGTACCCTGTCTTACAGGGTCGCTGAGTCAGAATCAACTTGATGCCACTGAGTTTGGTTCAACACCTCCCAATACCTATCCCGTTCAATTATTTTGAAACAAATTTCAGACAATTCCATCAATAAATATTAGTTCATAAAAAGTAAAGGGCTTTTTATAAAACACGCTCATCATACTTAGAAAATGAATAATGATTTCTAATATCAGTCATCTAAGAAGTTTTTAATAACTAGTTAATTTGTGATATGTGTTATTTATTTTCATTGTACCTTTCAAGTACTTTATACCGTATATACGCGTGTATAAGTCAAGTTTTCCAGCACATTTTTGTGGTAAAAGTAGGTGCCTCGGCTGATAGTCGGGTTGGTTTATACTCGAGTATATATGGTAACTAGTGACTTTTCCTTTCAATATTAGCATCTATTTTTCTCACTAGAATTATAATAAAACCCAAAGGGTAGCTTTTGATGCTTTTTGCTTGTATTTCTTAGTCATTAAATAGAATTCATATGAAAAGCCTGGCCATATGGTTGGGTATTTTCAATTCTCCAATGTTAAAAATGATTCACATTTTTACAGGTGTTGCATTGCTTCAGCGTGGAAAACTGTCTATGCCTGGATTATAATAGCAAAGTCACAAATCTCAAATCATGATGAAAAAAAATGGTTTTAATGGTTTTCTGCTATCTTTGTCTGACCTGGGTATTTTTGTTTTACATAGGTCTCTAATAGAAGATGGCAAAGCCCAGCCACAGCAGCTACGTTCTTCAGCAGCTGAACAACCAAAGAGAATGGGGGTTTCTCTGTGATTGCTGTATTGCGATTGATGACATTTACTTTCAAGCGCACAAAGCCGTCTTAGCTGCCTGTAGCTCCTACTTTAGGATGTTTTTCATGAGCCACCAGCATAGCACGGCACAACTGAATCTCACCAACATGAAAATTAGTGCCGAGTGTTTCGATCTCATTTTGCAATTTATGTACTTAGGGAAAATAATGACCGCTCCCTCCAGTTTTGAGCAGTTTAAAGTGGCCATGAACTACCTACAGCTGTACAATGTTCCCGACTGCTTGGAAGACATACAAGATGCAGATTGTTCTACGTCAAAGTGTTCGTCCTCCGCACCCAGCAAACAGAACAGCAAGATGATATTTGGAGTAAGAATGTATGAAGACACAGTGACGCGGAGCGTGAACGAAGCCAACAGGTGGTGTGCAGAGCCAAGTTCAACGGTAAACACGCCACACAACAGAGAGCCTGAGGAAGAGCCATTGCAATTAGGTAATTTCCCAGAGCCACTGTTCGATGTGTGTAAAAAAAGTTCAGTGTCCAAATTATCTACTCCAAAAGAGCGCGGGTCACGGCGCTTCGGACGGAGCTTTACCTGTGATAGCTGTGGATTTGGCTTTAGCTGTGAAAAATTACTAGACGAGCATGTGCTAACCTGTACTAACCGCCATTCATACCAGAACACAAGATCTTACCACCGAAAAGTAGATAGCAGAGATGGGAAAGACAGTACCATCAAAGCGGAATTTGGAGAGAAGGATTCCTCTAAAATGTTTTCTGCACAGACGGACAAGTACAGAGGAGACACAAGCCAGGCTGCTGCTGACGATTCCACTTCCACCACCGGAAGCAGGAAAAGCAGCACAGTGGAATCGGAAATAGCCAGTGAAGAAAAAAGTCGAGCTGCTGAGAGGAAAAGAATCATCATCAAGATGGAGCCGGAAGATATCCCTGCAGATGAACTGAAAGACTTTAACATTATTAAGGTTACGGAAAAGGACTGTAACGAATCCACCGACAATGAGGAATTAGAGGATGAACCAGAAGAGCCCTTTTATAGATACTACGTCGAAGAAGATGTCAGTATTAAAAAAAGCGGTAGGAAAACGCTCAAGCCTCGGATGTCGATAAATGCCGAGGAAAGAGGTGGCTTAGAGAACCTGAGGCCCCCTAACGACAGCAGCCCAGTCCAGGAGGACACTGAAAATGCATCCTGCGAGCTGTGTGGCCTCACGATAACTGAGGAGGACCTGTCATCTCATTACTTGGCCAAACACATTGAAAATATCTGTGCCTGTGGCAAATGTGGACAGATACTTGTCAAGGGCAGACAGCTGCAGGAACATGCCCAGAGATGTGGAGAACCCCAAGACCTGACAATGAATGGGTTAGGAAGCACCGAGGAGAAGATGGACATGGAAGAGAATCCTGATGAGCAGTCTGAAATAAGAGAGATGTTTGTGGAAATGTTGGATGATTTCAGGGACAATCATTTCCCGATAAACAGCCTCCAAAAAAAACAGCTGTTTAAACATTCGGCGTGTCCCTTTCGATGTCCAAATTGTGGCCAGCGCTTTGAGACGGAAAATCTCGTGGTTGAACATATGTCTACCTGCCTCGACCAGGATATGTTCAAGAGTGCCATCATGGAAGAAAATGAGAGAGATCACAGGCGTAAGCATTTTTGTAATCTCTGTGGAAAGGGATTTTACCAGCGGTGCCACTTACGAGAACACTATACTGTTCATACTAAGGAAAAACAGTTTGTTTGTCAGACATGTGGAAAGCAGTTTTTAAGAGAGCGCCAGTTGCGTCTGCACAATGATATGCACAAAGGCATGGCCAGGTATGTCTGTTCCATTTGTGATCAAGGGAACTTCAGAAAACATGACCATGTACGGCATATGATTTCTCATTTATCTGCTGGTGAGACTATATGTCAGGTCTGCTTTCAGATATTCCCCAATAATGAACAATTGGAGCAGCACATGGATGTTCATCTGTATACATGTGGAATATGTGGAGCAAAATTTAATTTGAGGAAAGATATGAGATCACATTATAATGCCAAGCATTTGAAAAGACCTTAAGTGATTTTCTGTTGTACTAATGTGTAGTTGGTAGCAGACAAAACACCAAAGCAAAGGATATGAGTTATTTAGAAATTGGTTTTATAATATAAATCATTGGGAGGAAAAAAATCTCAAGGCCCCTTTCCTTTAACATTTTTGTTTAGGATATTAAATATATAGATATATTTTAGGAGCTATTAAATGTATGCTATCATTTTTATTTCTAATAGAATTTTTTTTAGTTTGTCTTAGCTATGATTAAAATTACTTTTAAGTGTAGACTACAAGTGATTTTCCCCCTTCAGTGACTATTAAACGTTAGGATTTTTTTTTTAATTAATAAGGTGATAACTTTACTATTTCTATATTGTTTTCTTGTTGTTGTTGTTTTGAAATTTAAAACCCAACGTTAGTGGACATTCCTATTTAAAAGAAAAAAAATTAAAGTGATGAATTATTTGAAATTATTCCATTTATTTTTATTTGTTTTTGTCAGCTCAACAGTGATTTTTCCCTCAGCATTGTTTATTCCTTCCCCCTTATCAATGAGATTTTGATTCTTAAATTTGACAGGCCAACTAGGCAGGTTAAGTGCCCTGAATCTAACCTTGAAGACTGACATGGGCCCATCTTTGGCCTAAAAAGATTGATTGACCGGAGGAGATTTCTATAAATATTTCTTATAATTGATAAAATATTATCATTTAATAATCACATTTAAAACTTATATTAAGTATAAAACCCAATGACTTTACCCCACTTGAGAAATTAGTGGGGTTAGCCATTTTGTTTTGTGATAATAAATTTAACTATGATAGTTAATTAAAAAGACATATCTTGTAATCATTTTAAATATTTAAATTTAAAATATTCTGATTTCTAAAGTGTGTTAGCTTATCAATGATTCTTGTTTATAAATAGACTTTTAATATTTCTTTAGGAATATGACATTAAAGGAAAATGAGTTTTTTCATCTTTAAAATTTACATACTTTTGGAACTTACTTTGAGATTTGAGAAAGTTGCCATGTATACTGATAAATCTAATAAAATAAAGAAATCGATTATAAATCTGGTTGTTCTATAAAAGTATAGTGCGCAAAAAATTTTCTTGTGTTTTATGTTTTCTAAGATTTAGAAAAAATGTGTTATGGCAAATTACAGTTTATCCCCATGCTTTTTTTTTCTTCCCTTTTCCCTCCTGTACAGGACTACAAAATTTAAGGATGTTAAAACCACTGAGATTATAAATGGAAACAACTTATCATTTTTCAGTGAAAGTAGTGTTTATTGATAGTTTTTGCTATTGCAGGGTCTACATGTGAGTTAAAACACTGACAAAATTGACTAGAAACATCTATTGAATAGAAAGCCTATCCCCCACAATTTAAAGGTTTGTTAAGGCAATCAACAGCTTACAAACGCAATTTGTAACTACAGTTATTGGAGCAGGGCAGTCTCTTCTCAGCTGTGCCAGCAGGCAAGCCTCTCTTTGGCCTCTCAGCCACACGGCTCAGTGATTTCTGCCCTGCTTGTGCAAAGTTACAGAACAGAAAGCCTTTTAATGTGAATATGATTGCATTTGATGTACTACCCATCTCTTGATGAAAGGGATTTTAAATAAGCCCCATATTTAAAAATACAATTTTGTGATTTTGAACAGTAATTTAAGAGCATTGCTTTTTTCGTTTACATCAAATTCTTAAGAAGTGCAAAGTCATTTTCCATACAATATGAAAAACAACTAAACCACGTGGTTTACAGAATTGTGACAATGATGTCTCAGTAGATTTAGTTGAAAGAGACATCTTTGAACACTGTGTGCTCAAGAGATTTGGAGGAATTTGTGAGATCAGTAAGTCCAGGAAAACTAAAAGCCAGTGGTGAAGAAGTAAAACAGTAGTGGAAAATGGGGGAAATACACAGAAAGATAAATGAGAAGCCAGGGAGTATTCTATAAGCTACATAGTTAATGAAGTGGGAAAAATCTTTCATCTCAGTCTTGGATACAATGATTTATTCATTGCAAATACAACTTAAAATGAAATATGCCTGAGGAAGTTGCTATGGTGGCACAGATAGTTAAGCACCCTTGTACTGGCCAAAAGATTGTCAGTTTGAACCCACCTCAGAAGACAGGCCTAGGGACCTGCTTCCGAAGGCCACAGCCTTACAATCCCTCTGGACAGTTCTCTGTGCACACGTAGCCTCACATGTAGAGAGGGAGGGCTCTCTCTAAATGCTACCACTCTTTCTAGAAATGGTTGTGTATTCCATTAGGAAAGGGGTTTTCAAGCCTGATAACCTACTAACAGCCAACAATAAGTAAGTCTATAAGCCTTAAACAATTTCTAGTTTTACATAATGGAGACTTTACCCAAAGCCACATGTATGTCATTACCTGCCCTACCCACTCCCAGTTTCATGTACACAGGGAAGCCTCTTTTGACATGGTTTTGGTTGGGAACAGAACTACAGGGGCAGCATAGGTTTTTCTAAATAGACTGTCATTTCCCTTATCAAGATGAAGTTTTTTATTTCAAAGCTACTTACAAAATCTGTGGGAATGAAATCTTAGTGTCAACAAGTTAAGCTTGTAGGAGTGACTTCTCCAACCTCCAGCCCCCTGTATAATTTACGTTTTTAGGCTCCAAATCTTAAAATGAAGATCTAGCTCATTGGTTCTCAACATGTGTGTCGCGACCCCTTTGGAGGTCAAACGACCCTTTCACAGGGATCACCCGATTCATAACAGTAGCAAAATGACAGTTATGAAATAGCAATGAAAGTAATTTTATGGTTGGGGTCACCACAATATGAGGCTCTGTATTGAAGGGTTGCGGCATTAGGAAGGTTGAGAACCACTGGTCTAGATAGATACCCATGGAAGCTTGTTCCTCTTCACGTCTCAAACACTTAAAGGGCCTTTTGTTCAAAACAGCAAGAATCCGAAGGAGCCTAGTTGTTAGTGCCCAACAAGCGTACTACCAATTCCAATTACAGTTCAACTTAGATGTTCTGTGTTCGTTAGCTAACAGGGCTAAGAATCTCAGATAAATAAAGCCACAATCAAGCTGGTAGTGGATTAGGACTAAAATTTGCCTTGATTTCTCTATTATTTTTATTGTAAAATATATACTCCCACAGTTTTGTGTTTTTGGTGTTTTTTTTTAGATTTTTTTATTTTTTTTAAACATTTTATTAGGGGCTCATACAACTGTTATCCCAATCCATACACACATCAATTGTGTAAAGCGCCTTTGTACATCGTTTCTCAAAACATTTTCTCTCCATTTAAACCCCCGACATTAGGTCCTCATTTTTCCCCTCCCTCCCCGCTCCC